ATCAATTAAACTGATTGAAAGATTATGTCTTCATCATATGAAAATCAAGTACAATCCCTCCCGTTAGGGGTTTAGTATCATACCATCATAAAATATATGAGAAGAACATAACCCGTATCATGCCAACAACTGGTTTTAGAATAAATGTGTTTATTTCCGATGCAAAGACCCTATGAGTGAATCAATATTAATACCAAAATATGCAATCCTTAATGACTTGACAACAGTATCGTAACTATATCCTTTCCGAATAAGTCTGTTTATATGTTTGGTTAGCTTTTGAGGTGAATGCCGACATTTTTGTGCTTTGTAAAGAATATTACCATAAAATATTGGATGTGAAATACCTGAACGTATAAGATGTCTGCATGTTGATTTATATTGACGAATGATGTCCTTGTACCGATGATAAAATTTAGTAAATGTTTTGACTTAGTCTAGTTTGTGATATCGAAAACCCTGGTGTAATAATTTTTCAGTAATACAGAGATTTCTTTCGTTGAAATCAAATACGTTGTTACATACACGAGCGAATCGAACAAGTTGAGATATATAAACACCATAAGATGGCGACAAAGGAACGTCACCATCTAAAAATGGATAATTAACAATAGGAAATGAAAAATCATCTCTTTTATCATAAATTTTGGTATTAAGCTTTCCGTTAAAGATAAAGATATCAAGATCCAGGAAAGGGCAGTGTTCATTGTTAGTATTAGCTTTATTATACCCCACGCAACGAGTTGCGGAGGGTATAATGTTTTTGACCCGTCCGTCCGTCCGTCCGTCCGTCCGTCCGTCCGTCCGTCCGTCTGTCCGTCCGTCTGTCCGCCCGTCCGTCTGTCCGTCCGTCAGTCCGTCAGTCCTGTTTCTTGTCATCGCACAACAGAATTTCATGAAACTTTGTAGATAATAAGGACATACTAGGTAGATGTGCATATCGACAGGAAATTATGATTCAATTTTTTTTCTAGGAGTTACGCCCCTTTGAACTTATTTGCTTCAATATACCTCTGCAACAGTTTGTCATCGAAACTCCTCTGAAACCACACAACAGAATTTCATGAAACTTTGTAGATAATAAGGACATACTATGTAGATGTGCATTTCGACAGGAAATTATGATTCAATTTTTTTTCTTATACAATTTTTTTTTCTTACAGTTATTTTATTTCTCCAGTGACAATGTGGGGACATGGGGTATGTGAGCGCGCTCACTAAGGTTCTTTAATTTAAAGTCAGTTCGGCAGGATAAATCTCTTACGGGGATATACTTAAGTCGTCATTATTGAGAGCCAATGTATCATCTAAATATCTAAAAGTGTTATTAAATTAAAACACACTTACAATTAAATCAAACACGCCAACAAAAAAGATTTTGTAGTTGATAATACAGCCAGTATAGTAAAGCGTAATTACGGAGCCCCTTAGGTGTCATAAATATGAATATGAATATGTTCGTTTGCCGGAGATTTAATCTGGCACGCACCAGTTTGAAAACTCGTGCGCACGACTTTCAAAATTGTGCGCATGACTCTCAAACTAGCGCGCATGACTTTCAAACTCGTGCTCGCAACTTTCAAAAATGGTGTTCAGGACCTTAAAGAACTGGTGCACATGACTTTGAAACTGGTGCGCATGACTACAAAAATGGCGCGCACGACTTTTATACTGGCGTGCACGACTTTCAAAAATGGTGTTCAAGACTTTCAAGAAATGGCGCGCACGACTTTTTATCTTGTACACACGACTTTCAAACTTGTGCGCATGACTTTCAGACATCTGTGCATGACTTTTAAACTGGTGTGCATGACTTTCAAACTGGCACGCACGACTTTCAAATTGGTGTGCATGACTTTAAAACTCGTGCGCACTTGTTTGGATGTCGGGCGCACCAGTTATTGAAAATAATGCGCACCAGTTTTCAAATGTCGTGTGCACGATTTTTCAAACTAGTGCGCACCAGATTAAATCTTCGGCAAACGAAAATATTTCTATTTACTTGGCACTTAAGGGGCTACGTAAGGGGCTCCTCACATAATGACATATACACTTTCCCGATAAAATGCATAAAAATTAAAATATAAGTACAAGGGTATAGTGAAACTACATTATAAAAAACCTCGTGTGTCCTTATAGCATCTCTGGACACATCCACATAAAGAACGCCAAAAGTCAAAAACCTGAAAGCACATACTGTGGATTCATTATTATTCATTGGATACCAATTGTCGTGGATTTCGTGTGAACAGGGGAACCACGAATTTAAATTTTCAACGAATTACAAATTTTATAAAGGCATGTATGCAGTCTTTGCCAAAACAACGAAATTAAATATCCACGAACATGCAAGTTTTTCTAAATCCACGAAAATTGGTACCAACGAAAATAAATGAATCATCCACAATATACCGAACCACGTCAAGAGGCATACGGTCAAATGGAACATAATGCTAGTAGTACAAAGACAAATAAAGATAAAAAGTAAAGTAGATAAAATGCTACACAGAGTCAACACCTAAAACCCTGGCTCATTAATTGTTTGCTCGGGCACTGATAATGTTTTACAAACTCTGAGTATCTGCTGCAATCACCTGAAAATCGTATGAGTTGAGAAATGTATACTTCATACGCGGATGAAGTTGGTAAATCGCTGGTAAGATGAGGAAATTTTATAATTTTCAAAATTGAAATCATCTCGTTTGTCATAGACTCTGGTATTGAGATGACCGCTGTAGTCAAATTCGGGGTATATACATGTATAAAATGATGCAGATGAAGCTGTATATGTGGTGTCTGTAATCTCTTGTTCAAGACTATTAATGGGACCAAAAAAAAAGTTTGTATTGTTGATGGAAAGAACATTTTCAATACACATGTGTGTAAAATTAAATGATATAGCTTATTTGATCTAATATAAAAATAAGAAGATGTAGTATGATTGCCAAATGAGATAACTATCCACAAGAGACCAAATGACACAGAATTTAACAACTATAGATCACCGTACAGCCTTCAACAATGAGAACAACCCATGCAGCTTTTAAAGGCCACGAAATGACAAATGTTAAACAATTCAAACGAGAAAACTAACGGCCCTGACTTATGTACAAAATAATGAACGAAAAACAAATATGATATACAGCAACAAACGGCAACCACTGAATTACACTGCCCTTAACCAGGGTCAGTGGTGTAACAGTACAACAAATGAACAAACTATAAAATTCAGTTGAAAAGGGCCTAACTCATCTTATCGATACATAGCAAAAACAAGTAACAAAAACACAGAGTGGACGTGGCAGGGTTCTTATACGTCTCCATAACCCTTACGAAAACAAACAAAATTACACATTGAGATATTTCCAGGGGAAAACCCCTCTCGCTTCACTCATTTGTGAATGCATTACGCATTATATATACAAAGGTATTTACTTTTCGACCATTTACGCTCCTGGAGGTCTTATTATCTTAACTGCCTAGTTACGCGTGGCAGTGCCTCTTGAATGAAAACGGGTCAAAATATGGGTAAAGATATTTATATCACCAACAAAAATTAAAGCAATAATTTACGTTCTGAGAAAGAAATTACACACTTCAACCAATTACAAGTATATCAATTGGTAAAACAAATGTTGTTTTCTGATCATTGAGTCTGGTCACGCATTGTCTTTCACGATCAAAATAATGCGTTGAATGATCTTTCACGATCAAAATAATGCGTTGAATGATCTTTCACGATCAATTTTGATAAAAAATCAACAAAAATATACATTTTCAAAATTAATATAAACTTTTTCAAGTAATAATATACATATATTTTACTGGACTATCTGACACATAAAGATTAAGTTTCAAATATATCATGATATATTGGAATGTGACCATTATTTATACAAAACGTGAATTTTTTTCTTAATGATTCTCATAGGATTGTGTGTCGCCTTTTGTGTTTTCTTAAAAAGTACTGCATTTTTTCGTCAACTAAGTGCACAGTTTTATTAAGGAAGTTGAATCATTTTGACAGACATATTTTTTTTCTAATTTGTTCCACCTTTTGGAACTACAGTAGATTTGTTCAAAGATTTTGAAGTAGAATTACACTTAATTGCATTCACGATCCGATACCAGCGACTCTTTTCACAAAAAATCTTACGATTAAAATTGATCGTAAGTTATACTGAAATGTGTATGACTTACGAGTATTTTCATTCTTAAGATTTTTTGTGAAAAGAGTCGCAGATCTTTCACTATCCGATTGCAATGCTTGACCACCGTTAGTTATTCTTTCACGATCATTTCTCTCGATATACCGAATGACACCCGTGCTAACGCCCTGCCACTAAATTTTACAAATGCCGTTGAAAAAAAAAAAACTTAAATTCTCGCTCGCCTCCTCGTCCGAATTTAAAGTATTTCTTTACTAAATTCCTTCGTATAAATACGACAAAACTCTAATGTAGGGTTGGTTGCTCGCAGTAACTTGTTCTTTTCTATTGCAAACAATATTTAATAACATAATAATCTAAAATAATTTAATAACAATATTCAAATTGAGATTTTCATACACCAAAATTGTCCAACACATCATTATATGTTAATGAACTTATTAATAAACTCTATATGATCTATGTTCATCAATATGACAATAAACGGTAAACTGTACGTTGTACTTACTGTGAGCACCTTCGATGAACTGACAGCTCAACAATTTCTTTATATAATATAACGGAACCCAGCCCTTTAAACCGCCAAAGGATTTCGCGTGCATATATAACCAATATATCCAAATCCAAAATAACAATAACCCGTTTTACAACTTCTCTAACCAGTTTTGAATATATTTAATTATATTTAACGCAGGGGAAATCCTTCCTGAAGTCAAACGAAAAGAAATATATAAAGTAAAAGATGGATACGAAACAGTGTTAAAATGAGTATATTTTAGAGAATTTTTACTTGTTCTATTATCATGTTCATTTAGTAAGATTTATTTTCAGCACGGAATTGGAATCCCTTCTTTGTCGGTGGTGTTCAACGAAATATTAAAGCTTGTACATTATGCTAAATGTACTGATGTCACATTCTTCAGAATAGGAACTTGTGGCGGAGTAGGTAGGTATATTATGTGGAGAGATATGTATATTTATTTGCTGTTGGTAGATGTAATTCTGTGTTGAATGCTATATAAATGCATATGTATATGGTTTTGGGTTGGACATTAAATTTTCTTAAACTTCAATATCTTGAGATTCTGATTTATGTCTATAAGTTATTTCTTCAAGTCATAACTTCGATTCTCTACCATCTTTATGTAAAACCCCTTTAGGTAGTTTCACCTTTCAGTCGTGTACTCTTCGGGCTCAAAGTATAGCATCTTAATATAAAATCTAGTCCACAATGATCGCTTTTTTGAAGCAAACCTAGTAAGCTACCACAGAAGAACTGTTCAATTCCAAAACACTTTCTGTAACGAGATACACATGGTTGCTTAACTTGTTCAAATCACTGCTGTACCGTCGGCCTATTCATTAGCTGTGGTTTCTTTTTCTAGAATTGCTGAAATAGAGCCACCAAATTATATTCAATTGTTTCACTAAGATTGAATAGACTGATTTCTTGTTCACATTTGGAATTAGTTTTAAAACGTACCCTCGATTTTTTCAATTTCCATGTGTCGGTAGATGTAATTTTGTGTTGAATGCTATATTAATGCAGTAGATTTAGGTGTTAAAATGTTTTTTTTTAACATTAACAAATTCTTTATTGCACCATCTAGTTGTTAACAAATGTCCTATATAGTACAACTATTCTATATAGATTTATATTAGGTTTTTTATAATGGTATATGCACCTGTACATTCAATTGCCCTTCCGCTGATGCAAATGCACATGCTGTATTTATTTCATTTACAAAAAGGGTCTATTAAGGTGCAACATTCGACTTCAATTACAAACCACCCCAAGGTTACATACATTTCGCTCACATTAAAGAACCCATGCAACAACTCTATAAGGGGTCGGTACGTGACATGTTGCAAGGCAAAATGTCTGCCCCTATCCAACATACCACTTTTTTCCAGCATGACCAGTGGCAGTCCAAATTTCTCGCCTTTCTCCTATCGTCACACCTTGCAGAACCTACCTATTATATTAAATTGTTATAGTTTGTCGTCTTGAATATGCATGAAATTAGTGCCACTGGACGTTAATGACTTTAAAGGATTATAAAACCAAATATGTTTAATCTTTTTAATTATTTGGTTAAAAGTTAAGGGTGGATTGTTATCCCCACTCTTACTCTACCATCGAGAGCGACCATTTCCTCCCTCACCCAATGCTCATGTTAAACTTTCATTTGGACTTGAAGCTATTATCTGTTTTCATGTCCTCAGATTGCTACAATCTCAGACTCGCGAATGATGTTTATTTTGTTATGGAAATAACTTTACGGGCTATTTATATTTCTATTTATTCGTCAGATACATGTATTATCAGTTTTAAGAATTTTTAGAATCCATGATTGGTTCTATCTTTAGCAATTTGGTTTCATTTAACATTTTACATCTTCGATTCAAACCTACCTGTACTATGATTAGGAAGATCATTATTATGGGCTACACGAAGAAACCGTTACAGATAGTCAAAACCCGAAGGCTGGGAAATGTTCCTTGGTTAATGGCGGTACTAAATTACATTTTTAAAGGCAGTGCCTTTACTGGTATCACACAATGGCCGTAGAAAAGAAAGGATGTATATATATTTCGTTTCTACATCGGGGTAAATACATAATCATCGAAATCCAGAAAAGTTGGATTTTTCTTATTGAGTTTTTATACATCCGCAAAAAATTGCGGCCGTATTTTGGGTTTGCGATGTCGTTGTCGTCGTCCGAATACATTTCAGACAATAACTTGGGTATACGTGTAGGGATTTGTATGAAATTGTACCACAAGGTTCCATACCTCAAAAGGAAGGTTGGATTGAATTTGGGGGATCCACTTATGAATTAGGGTCCAAAAAGGGGTAAAAAACAAGTAACCTTTTAAACTTTGTTTGAATTGCTTATTTCTGACCAATTTCAATGGGGTTTGAATAATCTTAAATATTGGGGTTCTTTGATATGCTAAATCTCACCGTGTATTTATTTTATTTTGGGCAGTTTTTTCAAGTGGGTCCAAAATTAAACTATGATTGATTTCAATATGCTGAATCTAATAATGTATTGTGATTTTGGATTTTGGGATCATTTTTCAAACTGGTCCAAATCAGGGTCCATAGGTCCAAAATTAAACTTTGTTTGAATTCAACCAAAATTGGACGGAAGGGTTTTTGCTATTTATGAATTGCTTATATTTGATCAAATTCATTTGTTTGTTTGGTTTTTTTACATTAAGAGTTACCTCCCTTTCAATGTTTTAGCTTATAATTTATGTCATATCTTTGAGGTGATATGCTGTCATCTTGCTGATTCAGATATTTTAATTTTAGTGGTTATTGTTTACGCATTGTTCTATTTTATGATTGTTAACATGCATTTAAATGATTTCCAATGGTGGAAAATTCCATTGGAAATTAGAATAGACATGACATAACTTTCTAGGGGGCTACCCATTAAAATTACAATAATAATAATTAAAATAGTTCAACTCAAAAACACTACCTACTCAACTTATTTTTTTATTAAAAATTAATTGCCTAAATTATGCACCTGTGGTACAATTTAGATGATGCTTTTTGTTCATAAAAACCTGTAGTAGAAGCCAGACCGGTGAAACAATTCTAAGAACCTGTAGTAGAACCTGGACAGGTGAACACTTTATTAGAACCTGTGGTAGAACCTAGACAGATGAAAAAAAGCTGTAACCTGTACTACAAAACAATGTAGAACCCAGACAGGTAAAAATTCTTGAATTCTGTGGTAAAACCCAGACAGGTGAAAAATGCAGTAACCTGTGGTAGAACCCAGACAGGTGTTTTAAAACAGAATTCCTGTTGTAGATCTTAATAAAAGGTTTCCTACCAATTAGAGCTTAAACTAAATTCCTTTATGAAGCATTTAAACAAAAGTACATTAATAAATAAATAAATTAAGTTCTTGGTGTATTTGGATATGCTGAATCTAACCGTGTATTTAGACTTTGGATATGGACAATAATAGGTAAAAATTTAATTTCAAATTTCTCAGTTCTTTGGCCACATTCATTCTGTGTCAGAAACCTATGCTGTCTCAAATGTTTAATCACAATCCAAATTCAGAGCTATGTAAAGCTTGAATGTAGTGTCCATACTTTCCCCTGTTCAGGGTTCGCCCCGCGGAGCATTTTATTTTTATTGTAATTAATCAAAACTGGACAGGAAAGAAGCGAATATTGTTTTTTGTTTGTTTTCAAAACTTTCGATAGAGTTGCATTTTGCATTATGGGCAGTCAACCGATTGATAACCGGAATGAGTTAAAAGTCCGTTTGAACAAGTTCGGGTTTATTTCGAGTGGTATTTCAATCTAAAGTTGTTTTAAGATCATTTCAGTCGTTGATATAATAATGAAATGACTGAACAATGCATATATATATATAGTCGCTACACGTCAATAGCAACTCAGCTTTCTCGGGAATCCAATTATTTTTCGTCAAGTTGGTTACTTATTCCTTATTCCTTATTCGTTACTTATTCCTTATTCCTTATTCCTTATTCGTTACCTATACGTTACTTGTACCTTATTCCTTATTCGTTACTTATTCGTTCCTTAATCGATTTTGATGTTTTCCCCTTTTAATGCTTTATTTTCTTATCTCTGTTAATAGTTCTTGGTTTGTAGAGGTGAAATTACCCTTTTAGCGCGTAGGTACTCGTTTTTTGTGCTCGACTGATAACCTGTTACTTATTCGCTACTTATTTGTTCCTTATTCGATGTTTATATGTTGCACATTTTTACTGCCTTATTTTCGTGTCTCTGGTGTTTTTGCGTGGAAAGACCTATTGCTTTTGTTCTGATTATTTTTTTTCTTCTGCCGTCTGAGATGCTTTTTTTGTTTTACAACATATCGAAAGGATTTTTGGCCAATGATGTCGTACAGTGATAGGGATTTCAAAACTCACCCTGTGTAACCGAACACTTATTCTTATAGGAGTTATCTCCCCACGTCCCCTTTTTCTTGTTATCTTTATTTTTCTGAAACCGTAAAAGATTTCAACAAACTGTTTTCACCAAATTGTTCGTCTACTCTTTAGAATGTTTTGGTTAAGTTTAACTGATGTGATCGGATGACACCTTATGGGAGTTATTTCCCTTTGAAAATTTAACATAGGTGATATGTTGAATAAATTCATACATTATAAGTCATAGAGGCCTAAAGTCTTTTGATATGAAGTCCTTGGTCCATTTGGAGGAAATTGAGGTCAAGGTCAAAGGTCAACGTCATGTTCTAAATTTTAAATTTTGCTTGTTATCTTTATTCAAAAGAAACCGTAACAGTTAATGATATAATGTGTTTGCCACATAATTGTTTACGATAGGGCGCAACTCCAACCCATTTAAGTCGAAGTGTTTTGGTCAACCCTTATAGGAGTTTTCCCCCCTTATGTATTTGAAATCAGTATTACTCCGCAACCATACAAGTGAATGACCTGGGTTCTATCGATTTGAGATCACTGACCTATGACCTTGAAATTGAGGTCAAGGTCAAAGGTCAATTTGACGTTCTGGATTTTGACCTTTGCTAAAAGATCTTACTGGTTCATTATAAAACAATTAAGTCTTCTGCATTTGGTTGTAGACATTTCACCATTTATCAGGTCAACCGGAAATGACCGTATTTTAACCGGAAGTAGCCTATTTCAGACTAATACTATGAAAGAGTACCTAGAATTCTTATTTTTTAATATCAGTTTGAAGTAACAAATTACATGAACCAGGAGTGACATTTTCCAACACCTTTTTATACGACCGCAAAAAATTTTGGGGTCGTATACATGTATTGGTATGACGTTGTCGTCGTCGTCGTCGTCCGAAGACACACTGGTTTTCGCACTCTAACTTTAGTTTAAGTGAATGGATCTCTATGAAATTTTACCAAAAGGTTCAATACCACAAAAGGAAGGTTGGGATTGATTT